TATCTTTGGGCATAACTGCAGATTCTGTATGTTTACAAAGAATAGGATAGAGTGGATTCTAAAATACTTTCTAGCTCTAAAACTTGACTGTAACTTGGATGGACACCTTGAAAACAAATTTCAGGAAGAGAAAAGTTTTTAGGCTATTGGGTAACTTGCCCAGTGAAAGGGCTTCTAGGCATTGGAGGTTCTTCTATGGCATCAGTGATGGTGCACAAATATGCTATTTCAATAATGAAGTAATTGTGTATTTATAATATTTAGTAATGCTTCAGAAATGTTAAGTGTGGAAACAGTGATAATACTTTCTAAAAATGTCTATCTGCAATAGCCAGTGTTGTCAAGGATGTAAAGAACCATGAATTATCATACTTCTTATGGGTGGATACATCAGTACAGTCTTGTTGGAGAACAACTGAACAAATAGCTAAGATTGTAAAGGATGTACATATTATATGATCCCATAAATTCTGCCTTAGAAAAACGTTAGCACATGTGCACTAAGAGGCTTGTTCAAAATTATTCATGAAGTCTTTGCTTATTATAAAAAATCTGAAGCAACCGAAGAGTCTCTGAACAGGAGAAGGGATAAAAAAGCTGTGGTGTATTTATATTCACTTATTAAAATAAGTTAATTTTATCTACAAACTTACTTATTGGTAAATATAAAAAAAATCTTCAGTGAAAAATCAAATTACATAATCATAATACAGCAAGATTCAAAGTAAAAGTCCACTTACTGTTGTTGTAACAGATAATACATAGGTCAGCCATGGTGGCCCAGTGGTAATGCAATGTTCTGAGATGCTGAGGTCACATGGCAAAGTCTTGGGTTTGCATCCCAAGACCTCCCTGTACGTGTTGGGCATGTGTGAGCCCGTGATCCTGGTTGGCTGAGCCTGGAATTGGTTTGAGTGTGAAGACCTCTTTGAGGTGCCTGTCTCTTTTTTTCTCTGTTTCTATCTCTCTTATGGAAGAAATAAATAAATAAACTTAAAATAAGGCCAGGTAATATATAGATGTGGACATGAACACATAATATAAAATTGTAAAAATACATTTGGACAACACCAATTCAGAACAGCAATTAACTCTAGGAGTGCTAGAGAAAGGAGAATAGAATTAGGAAAGAGATACATTGGGGTTTCCACTGAGTATGGAATGTCTTTTATTCATTAAGAAGAGATTTGAGAAAATTAGTGAAAAAAGGGAGATTTGATAAAGCTGGGTGGATCTACCAGTGTTTATTAGTCTGTTACTTTCATGTACTTGTAATAATGCATAAGAAAATAAAATGTAACATTAAAATATACCTGTGACTAGTTAGATTCAAGATCAAACGTAATTTAAGCTAGCAGTGAAATGCCTGTCTAAAAACCAAGTCTTTTTTAAAAAAAAAAAAAAAAACATTTTTACTAACATATCGTACATGTTTTTAAGAATACAATGCGATCTTATGGTATAAGAATACAGCATGTAATGATTCATTCAGGATAATAAGCAGACCAGACATCTCAAACATTTGAAAAACTAGGTCTTGATGCTCATTTTCATGTTCACATAGGAAAAATATCTGGATTTGGGTTTTGAGACTAAGTCACAATAATGGTAATGAGCAAGAATGAAAATAATTAAGATGACACTTTTTGTTAAGTTTATTTGACTCACGATGTAGAGCACGTGTGCTCATGAGAGAGCGAAAAGTGCTCTTGACAGGCTCTCATCACACTGAGAGCCCCTTCCCCAGCCTGCCAGCTCATCGGGACCTTGGGCACGTGGGCACACACCCAGTGTGTTGTCAAATTGGCCCAGGGATCCAGGGCTGTAATGAGCCGTGTGGCTTCCAGTGCAGCAGTTCCGTTTGCTATAGGCTGTCAACAGGCTGGACTGAGGTGACATGTTTTGAAAAGTGTTTCTTACCCTGACATGCTGGATGTATAAAGCTTCTTGGACAACTATTATCTTTTACCAAAGGCTCAAGTTGGTACTTTATTGGGTATTGTTTTTAACTTTCATTTCAACATTCCCCGTACTTATTTTTCCCAACTTAATTGAACCAGAACCCCCATCATCCATTTTTAGCCTGGAATTTTTTCTGTCAACAGCATTCCTCTCTCACACTCAGTAAATACTTTTTGAGGGGATGAATAAATAACCACAGTTTTAATGCATCAATTTCACTGGCAAAAGAAACTAGACACGCTTCTGAACACTGCAGATTTTTTGTAGGGAGTAGGACATGATAGCTATTCTTTTCTCAATATACAGGTATCCCAGTTTGTGGGGCATTACCTCAAATAAAGAAGCAAACACATTGAATTGTTTACTTGAGAGTTTTATTAAAAAGGTGCACTTCAGTTCTTTCTGCACAAGGCAGCTCTCTCCTCAGGCTGCTCCTAGCACAACGTGTATTGGTGCCTGCCGTAACCCTGACATTGCTTGCTGTTTTTCTCATCTGGGAAACACACATCTGGCCCCTTCTCTGTTCTGTTTTGATTGACACTTGTATTTCTCAAAGGCAAAAATCAGATATTTAATATTCAGACTCAAGTACTTATTGAGTTCTCAACGATGGCAGGAAAAATTAGAGGATGCAGGCAAATTTTCAGCAGTATGGATGAAAGAAATCTTTATTTTTCTCTAATATTGAGGCTGGCTTTGAGGTTCTCTATTTCCACCAGATATAAAGCCAAGTCTTTGTAGTGTGTTTTGGTCCCCCTCCCCTCTTTTTTTTTTTTTTTTTGATGTGAGCTGGCATCTCTCATGAAAAGATAAAGGCATCAATTAACTATACTACCGAACCTCAAGGATGAAAGCTATTGTTGTGAACAGGAGTTAGGCACGCACATGGTATCAAGTAAGGGCCTAGAAAGGATTGCTGCCAAGGAAAACAGATGTCTGTCTCCTTTAAGGAGACCAAATTATGTGTAGATCAGCTATTGCTAATCTCCTGATTGGTTTAACAGTGATGCTATTGGTGAGCTTATTTGGGTTGAGTGCAAGCCTTGCCATTGCTGTCGTCACAATAAAATTTTAAAACACTTGACTCAACCAACTAATAACAAACAACAATAAAACAATAGCAAAAGAGCCAACCTGAAAGAGAAAAAGATGCACCCAATCCAGAAACGATAGAGGGTCAGACAGGCCCTGCGTCTTTCCTTTGCTGTGAAGGCAAAAGTCCAGATGTGGGTAGGAGAGGAATTCCCCCACAAAACAATGAGTAATAACGACCAGCTCACAATCATAGGATGCATGAGACAATGATGAATTGTACGTTAGGAGCCTATAGAAGACAATCAAAATGGTCACTTTCTTCCTAGTTGAATCCCCCAGCAAAATTAGACAGAAAGAAAATACCGCTTGAGGTCTTGCACACTGCTCTTCCTGTTTTCCTGGCATGGTTATAAATAAGAAAAAGTGCAGATGTTCTGATTCTCTTCTGTCGCATGACCGTGTTTCATCCTTTTATTAGGTTGTTCTTATTGTTCCTTTTATGTTGTTGTGTTTTTAAACTCCCTGCACATGTTGGCCTTCTTTTCTTTTCTTTCTTTTTTCTCTTCTCTTTTCCTCCTTCCTTTTCTTCCCTCCCCCCCCCCCCCCCCCCCCCCCCTCCCTCTTCTGCTCCCC